TAACGGAGAGAACATACCTCCTTCTAGTTTTAATGCACAATTCGACGAGAGCGTGGCAGGACCACCTTATCATGATTCAATACCATCAAAACCAGACTCGATCGATCCAAACGTGATAATTCAAATGAATTCCAAAAAAAAAACTCAAATCGGTGATCATTTCTCCGATATAGACAAGATCAAAACTTTGACACCAATTTTACCGGGAAAACCGAAACAAGGTCAACGAAATCCTGAACAAGAGATCGCACCCGATGAATTGTACCATTTTATAAATATTCAACATCCTGGTTTAATTCAACTAGATCATGGTCCACCTCAGGGCCACTCCGGTATATACAATCTTCATCAACAAATAGCAACTCAAAAGCGACCGTCCACTAATCAAATACAAACAGGATATTTTGGTACTCCACCGCCGTTAGCGAAAAAAACTGGCAAGCCACACATCTTTACACAAAAAAATGAAAACGGACAAACCACTTATCATATACACACGCCAGATATTCCTAATACTCCACAAAAAATAGAAGAATTGTTGGCTCATATCAGTCAACATGATAATAATCCTGGACCATTCCAACATTATCCTGGACAACCACCAATACCTCATAACATACCGACCGGTCCGCAACCTTCTCTACCGCTTCATATTGATGCTCATATACCACATTCAGGACTCACGCACTTGAATCATCCGTTCGCAGCACAAACGCCAAACCAGTCAGGTTCGTCCCTGATAGAAAAAGAAAAAAAAAAAAAAAAGAAAAAGAATCAACAAAAAATTCATTAATTTCATATGACAATATATAGGTTTTCATATTTATTAGCTATAATTTGATTTTATTAAATCTATCACTTCAGGACAAATTCATGTTCTACAATGGAGAATAGCCCATATCAATTATTCGAAACTTATATACGTTAACGAACTTTGAAAAGTTGAATATCTTTATCATTTCTATTGCAGGATTAGACCATAATTTACCATCAGGTTTTCCATTAACAGGAGGTATTCCTAATTTCCCTGCATCGTCTTCATTCGATGAGGTGACCGTACAAGTTTTGGAAGCACTCGATGAGAGTACGGTACGATTAGTATTTACAGTACCAACAATTTTAGTAGGCCTTCATGGAAGAGTCGAACTACGATATACTAGTGATCCTAAGTAAGTTTTCTAATTTATTTATTTCTTTTATTCGTTACAATGTTTTTCTAATAATCACATTTATATGAATATCTAGAAATGTCAATCCTACAACATGGAAATCAAAAGTATTTGCACCTCCTGGTGATCTAATAGCAACTCCTCAATTGGAATTTGAATTAGACGATTTGAAACCATCGACAGAATATAAAGTGAAAATAATGGTTAAGCTAAAAGATTTAACTAACAGTCCTATGAGTAAAGTATACACTGTACGTACTTTAGAAAAATATGCCGAAGGTACAACGTTACCACCACAAATACCAATCGATGCGGAATTAAGAATAATGGAAACAAACTCGAGTTGGATTAATGTTATGTGGAAGAAATTTACGGATTACGAGTTACAGTTTATCGATGGAGTACAATTACGATATAAGGAACACGATGGGAAAGTATACGCAGCTACGCCATTGATTCATAGATCTGTAACGAATTATGTTATTGAAAATCTTAAACCTATGACAACGTATGAAATTGGAATTTATTTTATACCATTCCCTGGACAAACTACTGAACTTGTCGCAGAAAAAACGGTAATTAATATATATATATATATATATATATATATACAAATATAGATGTTAGGTGAACCGAAAAGTAATGTCGCTTTTGAACCTTAAATTCAAACGAATAAATTTTTAATCAATAATATAATCATCTTTATAAAACATAATACATATAGACATTTGTTTTTATACAGATTCACGTAACTACGTTTTCCGAACCAGATCCATATTTATTCGATGTAAAAGTTGAGATAAAAACAATTAAGTCAACCGACGTTGAGGTATCATGGAGTGGCGTTCCTTATCCTGAAGATAAATATGTTAATATTTATCGAGCAATTTATCAAAGTGACAGTGGCAAGGAAGATACAAGTACATTTAAAATTGCCAAAAGAGATTCTCCAGCTAAGACTATTATCAGTGATCTAAAACCAGGAACAAGGTATCGTTTGTGGATCGAAGTTTATTTAACAAATGGAAGAATTAAGAAAAGTAACGTGCAAGATTTTGTTACTAAACCTGGTATTTTAATGCCAACAAACGTGCCTCGACAAGGTATTTCATTAAAATTGTTATTATTTGTCAATACATTTGAATATGTATTATGCAAATGTAATGTTTGTAAATAATTTATATTTAACAACAACAACAAATTCAATTTTTATAGTGGGTAAATTGGCTTCGATACCATTACACGAAGGAGATTATTATGGTCCTTTAGTCATAGTAGCCATAGTTGCATCTCTCGCGATATTATCTACATTGATTCTTTTAATGATGTTAATGAAAAGACGAACGAGCAGTAAGGCAGACATTTCACCACGCAAAACTACATCGGCGTATGATAATCCTTCCTACAAGGTAGAATTACAACAAGAAACTATGGGTAATTTATTGTTATTTTATTTGCATTAAATTTGCAGAGTTTGTATATATTTGAATTTTTTTATATTATGGTTTTCTTTTTTTTTTGTTTTTGTTTTGCAAAAATATTCAATATCTTATTCAGCAAATGGTATAAAATAAATTCCAATATCGTACGTTGTGTTCATCTACTTAATATTGTTATGAAAAAATTACATTTTATTCGTTTTATATATGATAAAGTAAAAAGACAAAAAAAAGCTATTGGAGAGGAATTAATTTGAAATATTAGAATATTCAAAGAGAAAAGAATTACTTATTAGTGATAAAAAATTAATAAATATTATAATTATAAATGCTCAATCAGTATGATTACAGCTAAACGATTTAAATATTTTCAAACTTTGTAATATTTATTTATTTTTTTTTTTAGACCTATGAAGATTCGACTGTTTCCAATGGAAGAAAACAAAATATGGAACACGAGATGGCTACAATTAATAGCAATGTTAAAGATGTTGCCTGATATTTTATAATTTATTGGATTATATTTATTTATAAAGTTATATATTAATATACTTACCAATTTATAAAATCCATCCATACAAAACAATCGTCTACATAATTTACGCAAAAAAAAAATATGCGTTTATTCGATAATAAACGAGAATTTCATTATCATGGACTATTTGCTATCATTAACATAAATACATTATGTATTTCAGTCTAACGTAAAAATATACTGAAATTTCTTCATTTATTAAATATAGAGCTTAATATGTGTCATGTATCAAATTTTGTACATAAAGCACGTGATAACGTAACTTTTAAGATTTTCCACGAAAATGTTATAACACAAAGATTTTTATTATGAGAACTTTTACTTTTATTCAGTTTTAAGCTATTAAATTAATAATTAATGATTAATAATTAATAATTAATAATAAACATCAAATATAATTGTAAGAAACTGTGAATAAACTATACTCTAAATTAAAAGCACGTTTTAAAGTATTTTACAATATTTATTACATTTAATATTTATATACATATATACAGGATAAGTCACTATACGTGACGTAAATGCTTCCTGCACAGTTAATAAACTAAATTAGGAGACAAATGTAATGATAAACAAAGATATCAAGGTCATCGTTATTTTTTTCAAATGGTATGTCTAATCTTTTTCTTCTGGATTCTAATAAAGCATCAAATTCTACATAACAAACTATCATACTATGTAGGACTTAAAGTGAACAATTGCTGAGATATTCACAAATAAATTTTGATTATTACAAGTGTTCAAAGTGCTCTTTATTACAATCAATGCACTTTGATAATTTTCTTATCAAAGAACGTGTGACGTTTTCTAACGTTTCTGCAGTTATTACCATACATGCATTAATAATACCACATTGACAAACGTTTTTATTACAGCACTTCTAATAGATTTTTCAGTGTTTCAGACAAAAAAGTGGAGTATTTTTGATCTGTTAACGAGCCATTAATGAAGTAATGTTCAACAATTTGATGATCAATTATACCATACCAGACATTCAAGCTCCATCGGTGTTGATAGTCTGTTCTATATTATTTTTCTGCATCGATATTATTAACATTATTATTATTAGAAGATGTGCCATAACAAAAAGGTTTGTCAACATGGTATTATTGGTGCATTTACAGCAATAACTGCAGAATTACTAGGAAACGTCACACGTTCTTTGATAAGAAGATTATCAAAGTGCATTGATTGTATTAAAGAGCACTTTGAACACTTGTAATAATCAACATTTATTTGTGAATATCTCAGTAATTATTCACTTTAAGCACTACATAGTATAATAGTTTGTTATGTAGAATTTGATGCTTTATCAAAATCCAGAAAAAAAAAAAACAATCAGACATTCCATTTAAAAAGATAACGATGACCTTGATATCTTATTACAAAAAGTATCTTAAAAGAAAGTTTTGTTTATCATTACATTTGCCTCCAAATTTAAGAACATTTTTTCATACATTGTATATATTATGATTTATTTTGAAACGTCACGTACAGTGATTCACCCTGTATATATGTATTTTATTTAATGTTAAAATTTAAGTATAATTATGCTGAGCTTTTTTTTAACTTATTACAAATTTATTAAAAATTAGAAACATTTATATTGTGAAAAATCATGAAAATAAATTCATTCATTATATTAACTTGTATTAGTATAATTTTCAGGTAGAGAATAATATTTTCTTGAAATAATATTTATTTTTGTGTTATATGTTGTTCCTTTATTAAATTTAAAAAGAATTTTTGAAAACAAATAATATTATTAAAGCAATCAAAATGATGTTTGTAAAATGCTGTTTTATTATATATTTATATATATGTCATGGAAAGAAAATAATTCTAAACTATATAAAATTATGTTACACTATATGTTAATATTATATTTTGATATGATATATCTGAGATACTTAAACATAGATCTACCATAAAGTATGATTTACAAATATTCTTGTAAAATAGGTTCCATTTGTAATGGTTCATGGTTAGGAGGAAATCTGGCTACAATGTTGCCTTCTTTATTAATGATAAACTTGGTGAAATTCCATTTAATGTTTCCATCTTGTTTGGTCAACCATTTCCACAAAGGATGAGCATTATTTCCATTGACGTCTACTTTTTCAAACATGTCAAAAGTAACATTATATTTCTTAACAAAATTAAGAATATCTTGAGAAGTTCCCGGTTCTTGTCCACCAAATTGATTAGATGGAAATGCAAGTATTTTCAATCCTGAACTTCCATACTTTTCATACAATTGCACAAGTTGTTTATAATTAGCATCGGTTAATCCACAATTGCTAGCAACATTAACTATGATTAATACATGACCACGGTATCTGTTCAAGTCAACATCATTTCCATGGATATCAACTGCGTGAAAATCATAAACAGAGCTTGGAGATTTTAAAGATTGTTCCTGTGCATTTTTAGATGCGCATAGCTCTGAGTTACTGTTTTCACAATTCTCAGACAATACTCCTGATAAAAAGATGAGAAGCAACGCTACCCGCATACCTAATGAAATTGGATAAAATAAAAACCTTAACGAAGAGCAAAAATATAAAAATACTTAATTTTAAAGTTCTTATATGATAAAAAAAAAAAGGAGCACTTTAATGATAGTTTTTTTGACATTCCAATTCACAAATAATTATATTACGCAGTTGCATATTATTTTTACAACTACCAAATATTAATTGAACGTTGTTTGTTTAAAAATTGAATCATTATTATTTACACATACATATATAAAATTAAAATATTTATATTTAACGAAAGTAAATTACTCACGCAACATTTTGATAGAAGTGTGTGTGTGGATGAATTCAAAAACAACAATCAATTTATTTTATAATAACGATCGTTCAAATGGCTGAAATAATTCTGTCCTATTATTTCTATTTATTATCAATAATATCAAAATTAATCAGACGTAATAAGAAATGAATTTACCTTTACTGTATCTCCAATATATACTGCTCAGATCACAAAAAGAAAAACACGAATCTTTCTTCTCTCCGGTTTCTTTATTACTAAGAGTTTTTTAAAATGAGGAACAAGGAAGTACCAGTTTCTTTTCTCTGGTTAGTTTGACGTCACTTAGCCACCACCAATCAGAGCTCAGCATCATTCATCTGTAATAAAGAAAACAAGATACTATCTTAGGACGGCATGTACCTTATAAAATAAGTTCTAACCTTGTCAAATTAAAATAAGATTAAAAAAAATCTTTACAAAGAAACATATCAAGAAATGCGTGTACTTAAATGCAAATTATTTTAATAAATATTATTTCTAAATAACTCCAATATATCTCAAGTTTACAAAGCGTTCGTGTCTTTTTGTTTTTTAAATGTTACATTGTGTATACCGAGTGCATTATTGACATTTAATATCACGTTCTTTATATCTATATACACATACTTTCTCTTTTATGATAATTGTTTAAAAAAGTTTGTTTAAATGATTAAAATATATATTTGAAATGTGTCATTATTCAGTGAATGTGTTAGATGTTTCAACATAACCTACAAATAAAACAGTCAATATTTGAATTGTTTATTTTTGTATTTGCTGTTGAAAGATTTTCATTAATTAAAACGTACATATAATACATATAATTAATACACGACTTTATATTGTATAAATTGTTTTTTCTTCTAATTTGAAATTTAATTAAAAGACATATATAAAAATGGTAAGTGTAAATCATGTATACAACTATAAGTAATAGAAAGAAAATAATTTTATGTATTATTTCAATAAAACTGATTTATATATTTTTATTTCAGGCACGTAATGCAGAAAAGGCTATGTGAGTAAATAAAATTGTCTTGCATTTCTCTATAATGTTTTATTATAGTTTCTTCATAGATAGTAACTTGTTAAATTATTTGAATAGGACCACCCTTGCAAGGTGGAGGGCAGCTCAAAGTAATGAAGGAGCTAAAAGAGAACAAGAGAGAAGGCCTTATCTAGCTTCTGAGTGTCGAGACTTGAGAAAAGCAGAGAAGTGGAGAATGCAAATTATAAGAGAGATTGCTAAGAAGGTAGCTCAGATACAAAATGCTGGTTTAGGTGAATTTCGAATTCGTGATTTAAACGATGAAATCAACAAATTACTTAGAGAAAAAAGGCATTGGGAAGCTCAAATAAAAGAACTCGGTGGACCAGATTATTCTCGTGTAGGGCCACGAATGCTGGATCATGAAGGCCGAGAGGTGAATAGATATTTTTTATTATCATTTGATATGATTATTATTATTACTTATATTTAACCTAAAACTCTTATTAGGTACCTGGAAACCGTGGTTATAAATATTTTGGAGCTGCAAAAGAATTACCAGGTGTTAGAGAACTTTTTGAACAAGAACCACCACCACCCCCTCGCAAAACACGTGCAGAATTGATGAAGGATATAGATGCTGATTATTATGGATACAGAGACGACGATGATGGCATTTTGTTACCGTTAGAACAAAAAGCGGAACAAGAAGCAAGAGACAAAGCTATTGAAGAATGGTTACAGCACAAGAATAAAGAATCAGACTCGGAGGAAGAAATAGAAACAACTTCTCAAAAACCTATACCATCACAGCAAGACATACAAGAAGCGTTACTTGCTAGAAAAAAGAAAGAACTATTAGAGAAATATGTTCTCTGACTGACACTTTATTTTTTATGCTCTTAATAACAACTATTCATAAATTTATTTAATTGTATCAGAGTACATCTTTATAAAACGCGATAAATATAGTTATTAATTTGTAAGTATTTAATAACATTGATCAAGGTAATTATTATTTTGTGCAGTAGACGTTTAAACTTTAATCGTTACTTATCGAGAAAAAGGGTGCTGTAGATAAAATATAAATAAAAATCCGATGAGATAGTCTGTTTATAACGTTCGCGATCTTCATTTATAATAATTTTTGAAAAATATCGCGAATAAGATGATATACGTTAATCCGCACCATCTTGATCTCATTAATTGCATAAAATCTTTGTTTCTTAATTTGGCATACATCTTTTTAACAAACGATCTTTAAAATAATGTCGTTTGTTAAGATCGTAACGTTTTTATAGCGTTCACTGGGCATAGAAATAGCCAAGTTTTAACGAATTCTTTGAATTCTTTAGAGTAACTTGACGAAGTGATATATAAGGCAATGTAATCACGAAATAGTGCTCCTGCAATGAGAGAGTCATAAGATACACCTTTACGACTTATTACGATTATTTCATTTCGACGATGGATTACAGACAAATAAAGAATTCATTTTTGTAATGAGAACATTCTTAAGAGTGTACAATTGTCTGTCTGTATGTATGTAAATATGCAAGCGCGACCCAAATACTTGCATTCCCATATCGTGTCATTTATAAACAGACTGTAACATAGTACGTTATGTACAATCATGTTGCTGTTAGGACTCAGAAGTAAATAACACTAAAAAGTACTAAAGTATATAATATTATTATTCCTTCGAATTTTGTCTAACGTAGATTCATTTCTCTTGATCCAATTGTAAAGACCTTTTAGCGTATTATCGCGATTTCTTATTTGATAGCTAAATTAATTAGAGAGCTAGATATTAATCGGTATTTAAGTGTACTAGAACCAGAAGTGCTAAAGAAAATCGAAGCTGTAATGTAGCGTGTATTTATATTTAACCAACGAGTCAACTTCTGAGCCCTTTTTGTATAATCGCTTTTGTGCCTAAGACATAAACGACAAAACAGTTCGAGCATGGATTAATTTTCTTTTTTTGTTTGTTTTTTTTTTGTTTCATTAATGACTAAAAGACTATTACATGTTGTAAGGCTTGAAAAAATCAAGCTCTAAATGATTCGTAGCTTATCCGTTGATCAGTCTCTCTCGCTCGTTTCTTTTTTTTCTTTTCTATTTTTTTTTTTTTCTTCTTCTTCTTCTTCACTATCCAATTCCTTCTATTATTAAACGCGTAGATAGTAGTAACGTAACTATATAGATCTATTCGTACTTATAAATTACAATCGCATAAATTTCTATGTCGATAATAAAATCGATAATCTATGATCATCATCACATCTGCATCAACGGGGTGCGTTTTGCGATTTATTGTGCGTCATTGAATTGTGAACGTGTCCTCCTCGTCATCATATACTTATCCATTCAGCATCGCACAACGCCAATCCATTCTCGAACCATCATCTCAAGACACCAAAATCCGTCGTACTAATTAGTATGAAGATATTACTGCATACTAAAATATTCAATATATACATATATATTGAAAAATTACCGCGGAGCAAAGATAAAACTCGGTACACTTGCAGCTTGAATCGAATTTTCAATTCGTTTTCCTTCTTTCATTCTCTTTTTCTCTCTAATTTTTTTCTTATTCTCTCTTTTACTCTCATTGCACAAAGAAGCATACACGCACATGCACACACACATACATACACGCGCGTTCGTTCTCTCCTTTCCTTAGACGTCTTCCCTATGTGTCACAATGTGTCACAGTTGGGACTATCACGACATTTCCTAAAAAGGGTGAAAGGCACAAAGTAAAAAATAAACGATCAAGGTTTTGGCTCAGGCACATATATCCGAGTCGGAGAGTTCTCATGCCACAAATTCGTGATTTCGACGAAGTCGGTGGTGCCACCGTAGTGGATGAAATATATCGAAAACACCCTCGACTCCCTCCACCGTATCAAAAAGGGGAATGTATGTATGTATGTACTTGGTACATCGAGTATAGAGTTTACAACTCAGAGTGATTTTTTTTTTCTTTTTCTGTTTCTTTCTTTTTAGCGCTTATATTACGATAGCAAGCAGCTCTGATTGTAACGCAGTATCTATCTATCTATCGACAGATGAAACGCTTATTATTGGATTCATGCGCATATGTGTGATGGTTTCCTTTTTCTTCGTTTTCTTTTTCCAGTCGGGCAGTGCACGCGGCGGGACTCGCTTTGTCCGATGTTGTTTGAAATAAATGCCTAAAGACGAGGAAAATCTTTGTATAGTTCTTAGAGCGAATCCTTTTTTCGCTTCAAGGACGTAAAAGTGAGTGCCAGCGTTGAACTTGCGTTGGCTGTCGGGCCGCACGCATGTCGTTCCAATGTTGTAATTTTTCTGATCCGGAGCTGTTAAAACCTAAACAGAGCCAACCGATCATCTCTCTTCCCTTCTTGCCCATACCGCCTCTTCGCCGATTATAAACCGAAACCAATAGCGTCACGTCACCTAGTTGAAAGAGAGCGACCTGTGAAAACACACACACACACAAATCAAATGTCTATTATTCACTTTGTATATGGTATAATATACTTAACGTATGTGTTTATCATCACATTGGTTATCCGTGACTGATGATACTATATTATATTATATTTCATCTTAGAATTATGACATTTATGGTAAGGTATTTTAAAAAAACATATTATTTACCTGAAAAACAAAGGTTTCCTTATAAAGTGGATTTGGTTGAGCTCTTTTCAAACCCGTCTTAGATCGACTCATCTCGTGACCATTGCTATCGACGAGAGCCAATTTCACATAAGTATCCGGTGGTTTAGTATCGTTACCTCCACCTCCACGGAAATGAGAACCCTTGATAATTTCTACCGATAATCGTCCAGTCGTACCGTTATAAGATAGCCCTATTAATATTTCCGCAACGCTTCCACCTTTCATGCTACTCCCGTATGGTGGTATGGTAGGTGATGCATATGATTGAACAGATTGTTGAGAACCCGTAGAATCGCTACGCGTCAAACTGCTGCTCGTACCCCAATCCTGAACCTGTAACAAATTTTATTTATTGGTACTTCGCCTATATATATAAAAATATTGAATAAATCAATCATATTTGATTTACCGAAGATGGCGGTGGTTGTAAAGTTAACCAAAGAGTGGTTTCGAGTTGTAGGTTGATTTGATCAAAGGAGACTCTAGCTTCTCCGAGCAATCTTTCTCTACGCATTCTACCGCCCCATAAATAAACTCTTAATCGTACTCCCATAGCGTTCACATCCTCTGGATTAACACGAGGGAGAAGGAAACTTTCCATATATTGGGGTGAGTTACCCTGTCTAACGCGAGTCTTACGTCTTTGCTTCTTAGATGGTAACAATACTAAACGCACTTGACTACCACCGATTCCGGCTGGATAGTTTCGTCCTTGTAAAACTTGTACCTGTGTCATAATAAATAATGCATTATTATAAGCAAAGTACATAGAAATTTACACGTTAAATAAACTCTCGTATAACACGAGGAGTTATTCTTCATCGTTATCGATTTCTTTTATTTTTGTAATTGATTTTTGGTTTATATTCTATTTACTATTATATTAACAAAAATAATTTATGGAGAAGAAAACTTCTCCTAATATTTATATCTAACACATATTATACTTATCGAAAAAATATTTAAACCAACTAAGAAGCTAACCGTCATCTCACGCATAGGTGCATCGTAAAGAAAAGCAACTTCCAAACTACCAATTTCTTCTGGCACGGCTCCCATTGTCGTAATAACGTCATTCGTCGCAGGTACATTCTGTTCGATCTCTGCCTCCTGTTCTCTATTATCGAGTATAATACTGGAGGCACCAACTTCAACTACGCACTATATTACAAAAAAAATTGTCTAATTTGAACAAATATTCGAGAAATGATGGAATGTTCGAGATTAGATACGCATTGGTATACTTAGATTACCTGTTGCTGTTGTACTGCTGGCGAATGTTCCTCGGTGCAACTACTTGAAGTAGTTCCAGCGTCTAAAATGTATTAATTATAAACCGTATTTAATCTTGATTTATTTTCATTATAAAGTAGAACTGTAAAAATAAATTATAAGTACAAACCAACGATCGCTGGACCATCCTCGGCTTGTATAGTCAACGTATCTGGTGGTGGATGAGGATGCGAATTCAATCTTCTTAAAGCGTCTTCTTCCGAATCCGAGCTAGTTTCTGGATCCGAATAAGAAAATGACTTTCCTGTAATAACGTTTCATCAAAGATAATTATTTTGTTAGATGATATAGATGTGTTTTTAATAACATCGGTGTATGATTTAGAGAAGAGCAGCAACAAGGGATTGGAACTTAAATGATCTTCGTAATTAGTATATTTTTCTGAATGTTGTTGTTGTTTACAAATCGTTATAAAAATAAGAAAATTTTTTACAATACAATAATAACGCGTAATTATAAATTTGATATTAATAAAATCAAACTTTTGTCTATATAACTTTTGAATAATGATTAATTAAAAATGATCATCGTTTGAAATTATATGAAATAATTCGAAGGACCTTCACGTGTTGTTCAAGTTCGGCCCTCGGTATAACAGGTAGAAAGGATGAATAAAAAAATAAAGAAAAAGAGAAAGTGAATTAAAGAATGAATAAGTAGGCATAAATTGCGTACCTATATTTTTCGATATTTGAGATGTAGAGCTATTGCTGGAGTCGCAAAGAGGAACGCAAACTCCACCGAAGAGGGCAGCCGAGGTGGGCGGTGTGAAGCACCACTTACGAGAAAGATAGAGAAAGATGGCCAGCAATAGGACGATAAAACCAGCAACGGCACCCAGAAATGCAGTCGCTTCCACAGGTACTAAAAACAAGCCCAATATAGTTAATAAATCTTCCAATCGATTTGATTAACACGAATTAATATACTTAATGTGTGCGAAAAATAAATATCATAGATTTTTAGATTTCTTTTAAACATTTCTCTTAACATCGAAATATATATATATGAACTTTCGAGCGACGATCTCATGACAAGCGAACCGTTCTTGATAAAGTTATTCAAGCTATTGGTTGTTACACGTCGTTATACGTTGTAGCATGCTTATTATTTAATAAGCATAGAAACGTTACTGATCTTTAACACAGAGAAACACAAGAGAAAGTCTAATTATGTATATATATATATATATATATATATACATTACTAATTAACGTTAAAGATATATAATATATAATGAGTATATGTACGAAAGACAAAAAGAACATAAAATAAGTAACGATATCGCAATTTGTAATACCTTCGTAAAAAGATTTTCAAGTTCGGAAAATTAAACGAGAAAGAAAGAGAGAAAAAATATTGCTTGTTCTTTTTTTTTTTTATTCTTTATTTTTCTTTTATCAATAATGATTATTTATAGTTTCGAGCTGAGAGAACTCTTCGGCCATCCATAAACGAATTTTATAATCAACTACCGGTTGCGTATAGTACTGTCAGTATCGAACGTTTCAAACGATAGCGACGCATTACACTTTAATGACCCGGAATAATTAATCGTCGCCCCAGATACCGTTGAAACTATCGTGACACACGCAATATATTCTACGCGTGGTCTTGCTATGCAACACCAATATTTCTCTTTCTCTATATTCCGAAATAGAAATCAAAATTGACAGCTAATTCTCTCTTTCTCTTTTTTTTTTTTTTTTACTCTCTCTCGCGTAAGACGAGATTTTTCGAAGAGACGTGCTCTCATCCGCGTTATTCGCTCGATGAGTTCGTCGATAAAGCGACGAAAGGAATCGTGACTTTGTTGTATCACAAAGGAGAAACAGGCAACAGGGGAAAAAGAGAAGTTAAGAGAGAGAAAGAGAGAGAGAGAGAGAAGAAGAAGGGGAGAATGAAAAAAAAAAAAATAATGGCTTTGCGCAATGCGGAAGATGAAAAGTAAGTATAACATAGACGCATAAGCATTTAGGGACAGTTCATAAAAGTTAGAATCTCATATAGGAATGAGAAAAAGTATTGGTGATAGTATCATAGAAAAGTGTGAATGGTGCACGTGACGAGGGCTCCTCGTTGTTGTCCGAGGACGAAGAGAACGAAGGTGAAGGAGTGTTGGGATAGAGGGTGGGAGGGAAGGAGGAGCATATCTAGAGGGTGAGATGGCGGATAGGTGGGAGGTGTAAAAAGGGTTTTGTCGCGCGGCAATGCGGTTGGTCGGTCGGTAGGTCGGTCATTTGATCGTTGGTTCAGTTGTTCAATTTAAAAAAGAAAAACCTGATCATCGCGATTGAAAATTACATGAGAAACAGTAAGGTTACGTGGATTTATGCAAATCTACGTGCTTGGTATATTTATGTTAAGGGCACATTCGAATTGCGTTATAGGTAGCTTTCGGTTGGGTACTCGGTTAGACTCTCGTGGATTTCGGTTGAGCATTCGGCTGAATTCGCGACTAGTCTCGAACATCACGTTAGAGTGGACTTACCCGTTAAGAAATGGTCTGATCCAGCCAGAGTCATACTCGTCCGTGGTGACACATTTAAAAAAAATACCTCGAGCCAGCTTACTTGCGTCTCTCGATCGGGCACGATAAATAAGTCAACCAGAATGAGGAACGCATCGTATAATTATAATTCCTTTTCACCCTTTTTCACTCTCTCTCTCTCTCTCTCTCTATATATATATATATATATATGTATATATATATAGATATCTATTTGATTATTTTATTTACTCTCGTTCGCTCACGGATAGAAAAAAGACACGGGTGACGGCGACAAGTTTAGCTTTCCAAGAGACTTTATTATCGCAGGAAAAAAGCGTGGACGCTTCCTCGAGGAGCGTCGCGATACGTGGGCGAGGGTGTACACAACGACACTCTGTTGCTCCGTTCTCTGACAGACTTGCGCTTGTAGCACCCCTATCGCGACACTAATACGCATGCGCTCACGCCCCTCACGATTATCGTTCCTATAAACCACTCTGCTTTCTACGATCAACGTGCAACCAACTGACAGATCAACCGACTGATTAGTCCTTTCTTCTATCTTTTCTCTATCTTATTCCTTCCCCTCCCCCTTTTTATTCATGTTTACCTCCTTACCTAGATTACTCTCCCGTTTTTTTCTAGTTATAATTTATTTTTGACACATCTTATTTGATTCATTACCATGCTTTTATTGAATCATTATCGAATTAACAAATGTTTTACATCGATTAATATATTACGATGTAAATTAACTATTACATCACGTTATTTATACTTTCATGAATTTTCTTTTGATTTGTTCCATAAATTCTTGTTTCTTTTTAAATAAAATAATAATACGATTAAATGATAATTAATTAGAACGTAAGGTAAATTTTGTAAATACTCACTTAATATACTTTTATCGTACTGCATAATTGTCACTGGGGGAAACATTTGTTGAAATACTATATGCGCATTTCGAAGTCTTATTTTGAATGCATCTATGTAAGGTGTATAATCTATCATCAGGGGTACGCTTGTAAAATTATTTCTCAAATTTTATCGCTAGATGGCACTAACAAATTTCGAAATAATCGATCGAGTACATCGAGCTTCTATTCAAGGTCATAATACGATGAGATCTAGAAATATCGAGATAAAAAAACATAGACCTTCGATTTATAAATAAAATATTTAATTAAAATCATAAAATGAATAAACAAGTCAATATACCATTGTATCAAGCGTTATATCAGCATTATTTTATTGAAACGACTGTTTTTTTAAAATAACGTTTCAAACCATTTTACTCTGTTTTATTCAAAAACTCTTGAACGTTCAACAATCTAATTTCATAATAAAACTATTTGTATAAAGATTAAAGAAATAATAATAATGTTAATGAAACAAAGCAATATATAAATATTAATTATTACGTCACATTTAATTATTAATAATGCTAAATCAATTTTTTGTGTAATTATACGTTAAACCTAGCAATTAGTAACAATCGTAGTTATTCATATAAATCGAATAATATTCAAATAATAAGTATTAATTTTACATCTTTCTTAATTGTTTTACTTTATTTTGTTATTTTTGAACAATTAGAACATTTAATAAATTATTGACAAATCTTAATTTTCCTTATAACATCCGTCGATAATAGTTATCGGAATTTTTTTTAACATGTCTCTCGAATATGAGACAACATTGTAAATTTTATCGATGTCATTATAATAAGAAAGAATTTTAATATGGACTTTTGTATGTCGTACTAATAAATAAAATATATTTTATTATGAACGGAATAAATCGCATTTAAAATCTTATTATAAAAGGTAAGCTCGCGAATTATTACGCGTTACAAATACCGAATTCTAACCTAAAAATAAACTTACAACTACTAACACATTTTATTGGTTATGCAAATATTATTATACTAGTTTATGTATGTATTTATATATACATATATATATTTATATATATATATATATATATATACCAGTTTTGTAACTGGTAATTATTATATCACAAATATTTTTTTTAATTAATTTAAAAACAATATAGATAAACAATTATGAATTTCATCACAATATTACCATTGAAACAAACAAGAATTTTAAAGAAGTGTCTCTTAGAACAATATTTTAAAAGATATTTGAGATGTCAAGCAAAGCTTTATTGTGTTAAACATACTAGTCATAAGAATTCTATTAATTTAAAAGACCGTACTGTAAAACGTAAAGCATTAAAATTACGGATATTGGAAGATATCAAAGAAACGAGAAAGAAAGTAGAAGGAATTATTGAAAGAGAAAATATTTGGACTGTTCCTAATCTTCTTTGTGTGGGTCGTATGGTAACATCGCCTTATTTAAGTTATTTAATATTATCACAAAATTATCAGGTAATTCTATTTCCTTTTTTTTGAAAAGAGATATTTTTGTAAATAATTATTTAATTGATAAGTAAAACGTATTATTATCTTCTTACAACTGTAGGTAGCATTATGGCTACTGGCATTCGCAGGAGTTAGCGATTTAGCGGATGGATGGATTGCAAGAACATGGTCGTCGCAAGCTTCTAAACTTGGTAGTTTTTTGGATCCTGTTGCAGATAAACTTCTTGTAGGAACTCTTTTTCTTTCTTTGGCGTGGGTAGGATTAATACCAGTGCCTCTTACATGTCTTGTTGTTGCAAGAGACATTGCATTAGTTGCTGCTGCATCTTACATCAGATATCGATCATTACCTGCGCCCGTATGTAACTGAAGTTTTATTTTCTAAAACTGAAGCTACACTTCTTGATATAAATGCATTCTTTCATTTTCTAGAAAACTTTGGCAAGATATTTTGATCCAACGTATGCGACAGTACAGTTAGCACCTACTATTGCAAGTAAATTGAATACAGCAGTTCAATTAGCTTTTGCTGCTGGGACCGTAGCAGCTCCTGTTTTTCATTTTGTCAATCATCCCGTTCTTCAAGTTTTATGTTATGTGACTGCAATATCAACATTTGCTGGGGGAATTAGTTATTTGACTTCTAGAAATACGTACAAATTTCTTAGAAAGAAAAAAATCTCAACAAGGCCGTAATAAATACATTTTTATTATTTTTTTTATTATTATTATTATTATTTAATAGCAAATAAATAATGTACAGTTATTGAATATTATGTAAAAATTTATAATTGCAATTTTTCACATATAATATTTTGCGTATGGGCATTTAAGCATGATAGTATTTACAGAATAATATAATATTAAATATTAAACTTACAAGGGTATATTTACACTAACCAATCTATGTACATTGGCCTTACTAAAATAAAATATCGTGTAAATCGTACGTTTCATAAGCAAACTCTTCCCATTCGTAAGGATCGTATACAAGACCAATATAATCTATTTCGAGCTTAAATGGTCCAGGAGCTCTATCAGAAGCTATGATACCAAAACTGGATATATTGGTTAAATCTATAGGTTGTTGAGTATCTTGTACTCTTCCATGACTGGACAAAAAGAATTTAGAAAATGGTATTTTCACAAATTGCCAGTATGGACCACCCCTTGTACAAAGTACGTAATTATATAAATCATTCCAAAATATATCAAAATGCCCTTTATTTCCAATATTGATCATATAAATTCTTCCATCTCCTCTTATACGCATAACTAGATGATTATATGACTGCCAATTCAAGCGTCCTTCTCTTTTAAAGCTTTTCCTAAATGTTGCTGTTTTAATAGCGCAGTAACCTGCATTGTGTATTTTACCTGTTTTTGGAACTCTACAATCTAATATACCTGAAAATACGGCTCTACCATCAGGACTTAATTCTAATCTAAAAAAAAAAACACAATGTAAATAATTTTAATATATGCACACACTTTTCAAAGTTTTATATTACATTTCGAATATAGAATTAGAAAAAAAAAAAAGAAAAAACACATGTACTTACTTGCAAGTTGAATAACCTTGTTTATAATCTTTATCGGATACAGTTAACCATGGATCCAAAGATTTCTGATTCCCATTAAAATCCCAAACAATGTCTATTTCGTCAGGCTGTTGAAATAAATCGGGACCAGCGATTATATCATTAGTTTCTTTCTTAAACAAAGCTAATTCTTCTTTTAATTGTGAATAACCTTTCATTGCTTTTTGTAGAAAATTTGAATTATCTTTTTTAGGTGGTCTATCATATACTACAGGATATCCTGATCTTTGATCTTGTTGATATACATGTCCTCTGTAACTTGTATGTAATACTTTTCTTACAACAGGTCTATTAAATAGTATTAAACGCGTTAAGGAATTCATTTTGCAAACAATAATATAAAGTTTCTTTATAACGTTATTGTCATCAATATTGTATGCATTATTACAAATTTGTAATCAATTTTATTTAAATATAAATTTCTATAAATAATATATAGATAATATTAATATATAATAATAACAATAAATTTTGATATCAATTTTTTTAATTGAATATTATATTGATTCATATAAAATTTAACTATATAATAATAAGATGTGTTAGCTCTGTCGAGTAAATTGACAGGTGTAGCGGTACGACCGAAGGTCGCGCCATCTAAGTTACTAGAAGGCTAGGGAACCACGCTACAAGTAGTGGTCACCAGACTAGWACAGTCTGTGCGTAGCCGTTGAGAAGTGTACAACTAAGAAAAGCAAGTCGCATCCGTTAAATAAAAATCATAAAATAAAATTCAGTCTAATATTATCTTTACTATAGAGAAACCCTCTACACAGGAAATGTTTATACTGCGCTCTAGCGACAAGTTTTAGTAACTAAAGTTATATGATTACCAATCTAACCTATCGTGTCTTAGTCGTTTATGAGAAATGGCGATTGTTATAAATTGGAGGTTATTTAAATGTGATAAATTACAACTTTTTTGTTGTAAAAAATATCGCAATAATGGTACCATCTATTCGAAATTTAAAAGAGCTGTCAGTACTCTCAATGAATCTGAATTTAAAACTGAAGCTACATTTTCTAATGGGTAAGAATACTAGGTTAGAATACTATTCTAACCACAATATTATATATATTATTATATATTATAAATTCTTATTTTATTTGTAATAGTTATTAATAACTGTTTATCATTCACTATATTACTATTTAGTATTGTTATTTAATTACTCCTAATTATTTCATTAATAAATACATATTATTATTCAATTACTTTATTAATAAACAAATATATACATATATACGTGAAAAAAAGAAATATAACATTCTGATCAACATTTATAATAATACAATCTAATTTTGTTTGTGTGTCTTTTTCTTATATAGGACACAACTTATTATCTCTAGTGGAAAATACGCTCGGCTTAGTAATAGCAGTACTGTTGCATCTATCGGAGATACATCTGTTATGGTAACAGCAGTGTGCAGTAAAAGTAGCAGTAATAAATCAATGCTTCCTTTGACTATAGATTATAGACAAAAGTCAGCGGCTGTTGGTCGTATACCAACTAATTTTATGAGAAGAGATATCGGTTCAACGGAATATGAAATTCTTACTAGCAGATTAGTAGATAGATCATTACGACCATTGTTTCCACAAGGATGGAATTTAGAAACACAATTAGTATGTAATACGTTTGCCGTTGATGGTATTAATGATCCAGATGTAATATCTATTAATGGTGCATCCGCTGCTTTAAGTTTATCCGACATTCCATGGAATGGTCCTGTTGGTGCAGTAAGAGTAGGAATAATAGATAACGTATTAAAAGTAAATCCTACTAGACAAGAAATGCAAGAAAGTATATTAAATCTTATTGTATCTGCAACGAGCAATAATTATGTTCTTATGCTAGAAGGATCTGCCAATAATGTTTCACCACAGAATTTAAAAAAAGCTATTAAACAAGGTGTTAAAGAATGCCAATCTATAATTCAAGCTATTAAAACATTACAAAAGAAATGTGGCAAACAGAAAATTAATTTTACTATTCCTGAAATTAAAAATGTAGATGGTATAACTGAATGCATAAAGAAAAACTCAGAAAATAAAATACGAGAAATATTAACTAATTTTAATCACGATAAGTTATCTAGAGACAATGCTATCTCCGAAGTTCTTGTCAATATGACTGATATTATTATAGAAAAGTATCCTGAAACAGAACAAAGAGTAATAGAAAATATATATTATAAATTTGTTAAAGAGATTTTTAGATCGCTCATCTTTGAAACTAATACAAGGTAAATATATAATAATTTTATAGAGATAAATTGTATCAGTGTTGTTAGTAGAATGTGTGTGATAAACTTTCTAAAATGAAATATATTTAAGGTGTGATGGTCGTAATCTACAAGAATTAAGAAAAATTACCTGCCAAGTAGATTTATTTAAACCTCTTCATGGTTCTGCGCTTTTCCAGAGAGGCCAAACACAAGTTTTGTGCACGGTTACATTGGATTCCTTAGAAAGTGCTCTTAAAATGGATACGGTGTCTATGCTAATAAGGTGTATATAATATAAAATAATATATATAGAAACACATAAATATGTATACTGATTTTTAATATTTCTTTATATGTTTTGTAGTGGTATGAAAGAAAAGAATTTCTTTTTACATTATGAGTTTCCTCCATATGCAACTCACGATGTAGGACGTCTAGGAGTTGTTGGACGTAGAGAAATGGGACATGGTGCATTAGCGGAAAAAGCATTAAGATCTGTTCTTCCAAAAGATTATCCGTTTACGATAAGATTGACTAGTGAAGTACTTGAATCTAATGGTAAATATTCAAAATGAAAAATATTACATACAAATTTTGATAAATTCTTTAAAATAATATTATACTCTTTATGGAAAGGTTCTTCTTCTATGGCTTCTGTATGTGGTGGGAGTTTGGCTCTTATGGATGCAGGAGTACCAATCTCATCACCAGTTGCAGGTGTTGCTATGGGTTTGGTAACCCAATTCGATGATCAATGCCCTACTAACATTACAAATTATAAAATATTAACTGATATATTAGTAAGCACTTGATATTTTATATTTTATTATATATAT